GTAGGAAACAGGAGGGTGGCTAGAAAAGTGTATATTTTGACGTGTGTGTCTGTCTGTCTGTCTGTCTGTGTGTATCTATGTCAGTGTGTGTGTGTGTGTGTATATCTGTCAGTGTATTAGTATGTGTGTATATGTGCATACATCTCAGCAATCAAACGCCAACACTAGACACAAATACACACCTGCATGCAAACGTCAACACTACATACAAACACACACCTCTGTGTCAGACACCAAAATTATATATAAACACACCCCTGCCTTCAAAAACCAACACTACACATAAATGCATGCTTGCATTCAAACGCAAACACTACATACAAACACACCCCTACATTCACAGAAACATAATCCATACAAACATATGCTTACATTCAAACACACAAATACTGCGCAGTGCTAAATACAATCTTGCAAGCATTGGGAATTGATAGAGCCCCAGCTTGCACGACAGATGGAGATCTATCTTTTAGCCACCCTGTGTACATACAGTCCACATGTCTCTGTATGACTGTCTGTGTATGTATTCAAAAGGAATAAACACAGGCAACACTCCAATAGTAAGGATGGTATATTTATTGATCGGTGAACCAACCCATAGAAAGTGCGACGTTTCGGCTCAGCAGAACCTTAATCATGCAATAAGGCTCTGCTGAGCCAAAATGTCGAACTTTCTATGGGGGTGGTTCACCTATCCATAAATACTATCCTTACTATTGGAGTTTTGCCTGTGTTTATTCTTTTTGAAGACTTCACTGATGGATCCAGCGATGTCCGTCTGACACTGAGCATCCACCACTGTGGATGGCTGGAGCACTTACACGGTATCCGTGTGCATGGTTTTTGTCTGTGTATGTATGTCTCTGTGTGCCTATCTCTGTTTCTTTGTCTGTGTTTGTATGACAGTGTACCTGTATGTGTAGATTATATGACTGTGTTTGTTTGATTGTGTGCCTTTTATGACTGTGTGTTGTATATCTTTGTGACTGTGTGTCTAAATAATTATGTATGTGCGCTTATATGGTTGTGTATTTTTGCTTGTACCTATGTTTGTATGGGAGAAAAAGAGAGATAGATAGGGGCTGGCAGGGAAGTAAGAAATACATAAGAGGGGTGTAAGGCACAATGGGGTCAAAGGGGTAAGACATTCAAGAGAGTGGATATGAAACCCTAATGGGGTAAGAAATTCAAAAGGGGGGCTACGAGACACAGAGGTGAAGATACATTTTTTTGGAGGGAGGCGTCAAAATGCATCTTCGCCTGTGTAGTCAAAAAGTCTTGCACTGTCCCTGAATGCAATAAAGTTAGTTTAACATTACCTGTGCTTCAAAAAAACATGCAGATGTTTTGCTGATAACCACATTTTTCTCAAGGAATTTTTGAATATTATCCAGGCAAGGATTTCAAACACATTTCTAATATAGGAACCACATCTGCATTCCTCTAATCCTTCGGAACACTTCCTGAAAGAAAAGATGTTTACAATTTCTCAACCAAATGAACAATACACAATCATTTACAAAAAAATAGATCGTAAAATACAAGCTTAGATTAGTACATTTTTAACATTTGTAATTTATTGAATTGGACACTTCACTGACAAAATAAAATAAATAAATTAAAGTTCAGTAAATCTATCATTAATGAAAACATGCATGCATTTAATTATACATTGTTGTAGTGGGGGTATATCTAGAAATAGCTTACAAAAGCTGCATTTCTCTTGCCTCAAGCCTTTGCAAGCACTCCTTTTCTAGATACAACAAATACAGGGTGCGCTAAATTGGACAATGAGAGATAAACAAAAATCAGCAATAATATAAAAAGAGTCTCTTAAAGTACAGTGAAGACCTGGAGTGTATATTATTCAGTCATTGCTTTGAATCCTCAGTGGTAAATATGAAATACAAAAGCAGAAACAGACCAATAGTGCAAAACTGTTTTAGGAAAGCTGGATCACGAACAACATAGAAGTAGAGAAGTGCCAACTCACAATATAAAGAGCTATGCCCAGCTCTAGGTAAAACAGCATACAGTGGTATTTAATACTCCCCACATGTAGGATATAACTGGACACTTGGAGGTGTATCCTCAAGACTTCTTACAGCATTCCAGATAAGAGTCAGCATATAAAATGCATAAAAGGGGGAAAAACCCAATGGTGCAATAATGTAGGTTAACTGCAACAACAGACAACACGGAGGTCCTAAGAGTGCCAACTTACAATTGGGAGAGCTATAACCAGCTCTGAGTAAAACAGCATACAGTGGTATTTAAACTCCCCACATGTAGGATATCCCTCTAGCGATGCTTGTAGTACCGGTCTTATGAAATAAGAATCACAAGAGAGGGCCCATAGTGTTTACCGTATAAAAAATAGCAGTGAAAGGTAAAATGAAACGTACTTACAGTGTTCAGAGCAGCCACACTGCTCTATGAACCAGACGTAGGTGGAAGAATCCCTGCCAGGGATTTCTTTTGTAGTACTGGATCTTTAAAATGATAAAAAAAAATCAACCAGGATAAAACTGCAACAAATAAGTGTGCAAAATACTTTTATTGGATTCTTATAAAAACACAACGCGTTTCGCCAAAAAACAGGCTTTATCCTTTTCTAACCCAGCCCAATCTTTCTGTGGCTGTCCAATCACGTACTTCCCAATGCAAGGCAGGTGCTCTGTGCAAGAGCTGTCTCATGCGTTTTGCTCCACTGAGCTAAGCAATCAGGAAGTAGCAAAATAGTCGGTTGTCTGACAGCCAGGTGGATATAACCAGGTTATTTTATAAAAGTGCCAATTTCTTTTGAAATCTGCACTTTTTCTAAACTGAAAAAAGACAGACTCTTCACACCTTAGGCACAGTGCTTTAGGGGTCTTGAGTGTCTTATTACAGTCAAATAAAACGTGCATTTTTTCCTGTGCAAATTCTGAACAACTTACTAGACATTTCCAGTAATGTGACATGTACTGGAGTAAATATTGCAGTTTTTATTTAATTTACATGCAAATAGAGAGGTTTATGAATGATAGAAAAATATGTTATATTATGTACAGGGTATGGGACTTTCTTAATCCACAATTGATGATTACATTATCAATTTGTCTAATGGCATCTGTAGCATTTCAGTTGTTAAAATTAATGTTTTACTTTTTTAACAGAGTTTATCAAAGCACAGCAGAAGCAATATTGGAACAGAAGGAGGTCCTCCACCATTTGTGCCTTTTGGACAGGTATAGTACATGCTATTTATTTTAAAAAATGTGTAATTAAATATAAATTCTCCTAGAGCAGTGGTTCCCAACCCAGTCCTCAAGTACCCCCTAACAGTCCAGGATTTAGGGATTACCTAGTAGTGTCTAAGATGTTTTTAGAAAGAAAAAAAATAACACTTAAGACACAACAGGGTAATCCATAAATCCTGGACTAGAAATAGGTACTTGAGGACTGGGTTGGGAACCACTTTTCTAGAGGATTGAAAAAAATAAATCAATTAATCTAATGCTGTTGTTTTTGGTTCAGTTAAGCATCTTAAAATTTGCTTTACTGCTTTGGTTTAGAATACCATGTTCTGATTTGGGTCCAAATGTGTTTATCCTCGAAAACCGGCAAGTAATAGATAGAAAGTTTTTTTTAAACTCATGTCTATTTATCTTGTGTGTTTTTTCAAATATAATACTTGAAGGAAAAAATAAAAGTTGTTTTAATTTGCTGTGGGAAATCAGATTTGTAATTCAATAATATTTTAAAGAATGAGTGGTATATTCAATAAATATTGTTTCACTGAGCACAAAACAACAGAGAATAAAAGGCAGAATGAACAAGTATTACGTCTGTTGATGCCAGCTGATATATAGGCAAGTTACAAAAATCACAACAGACTGACAAGATCAGAGAAGTACTCATTTGACAATGCATTTAGGTGATGGCATGTCTTCTCCAGGATCATCCCCAGCCTTTCTCTTCAATGCAATTGGTCTCATAGTGGTTCACTTTTTTGGTCAACTCTAAGCTGACAGATCTTGGCCATAATATAATTATAGTCCATAACCACACATCCTATATTATCATGCCCCATCTCCTTTTAGGAAACCTTTTAACCCTTCAGTGACATAGTTATACAATGAACAGAGGGTCTCTAAATCTCTCTCATTGTGCCCCCCTTGTGCCCACCTAACATACAGTTCCACCAGGATAACAAATAACTTACATCCACTACAAGCTACTCCTTTCATTGTGCCATTTGAAATGCACATTTAGTCTGTATCACCATGAAATATACTGCATACCACAACATCCTCATCTCCTGTAACAGTTTACCGGGGAGTTGGAGCCCAGTTGCAGGAGATGGCAAAAGGAGAAGGCAAAACACAGTACAGATAAATGAGTAATCCAAAGGTAGGGTCAGACGAGAAGCCGAAGTCAGGGCTGGCAGCAGAGTAACGTAGTCGGTAAAGCAGGCAGAGGTCAGAGTCCAGGAAATCAGTCGGCAGAGAAACAAAGATCCAGCAAACAAACAAAATGACCAGATACTAGGTCTCCGGCAGAGCTGGCTTTTACAGCCTGCTGATTAGGGGCAGCTGACCCTAATTGGTAAGGGGCTGCAGGTGGATCAGCACTGCTCCATCCAGGCAAGGAGTCAGGAAGCAGAATAATGCAGACAGATACTGAAGCCCCCTGGTGGACAGCATCATAGAGAACCTGACTGAGCTCCTGGAGCTGTGAGTTCAAACCCAGCCAGGTCTCTTAAAGGGGCAGCAACACCTTGCTGTTTGCAGGGCTCGGGTTGTACTGTGACATCTCCTGCTCTTGGGTCTGATTTAAACCTATCTCTCTCACTCTGACACTGCTACCTCTGCTTCCATGTCCTACAGTGGATTATATTCCATTCTCTTGGGCCATGCAATTAAAATTATTATAATAATAGTGGAGATCCTAAGAGCATTTTTTGCTCTCTCCCCTAATTGCTCCTTTTTAGGAGAAATCTAATAGAGAAGTATTAGAGCAATAGAGGAGATCCAGGAGGACGGTAGCAAATGGCAACACAGGCTGAAGAGAGTGAAGAGATATATGTATCCTATTTTAAAGTCCACAACATATATCTCTTCACTCTCTTCAGCCTGTGTTGCCATTTGCTACCGTCCTCCTGGATCTCCTCTATTGTTATCATTTTCGGACAGTGCCAACAAATTCATCAGTGCTTTAAAATCATAGAATGGGGGTATTTGACAATAAGTAGTTGATATACAAAATATTAACAGAGCCAAGAGGTAAAGAATGCCTTCCAGTCTTCCTTGATGATTTTTCTGCTTGGGCTGCTTACTTTCTTTTCTCTGATATTACTACCTCGTCTTTGGCAACTTCAGCATTCCTATTAGTCAGTCTAGCCAGTCAATAGCCTCTACTCAATGGGCTTCCCCCTTGACTCACATAACTGGAAATACCTCTGACCTTATTTTTTTTTAAACTTTGCTCTGACACCTATCCCTCTGTTTGAAAAAGCTTTGTCTAACCTGCACTGTCAATGTGCCATTCACTCGACATATTGTATGTAGTTCATCTCGGCTAGCAGAAATCTTCTCTCCCTTGGTCTTTTGTTTTAAAACTACAGATTCCATGATGCTTTGTCATTCTAAAACCATTCTAAAGGTATGCAGAGTATCATGGGATTTGTAGTTCAACATCTGGGGATCTACATTTTGGGTACCCCTGCTCTAATACTTCTCTATTAGATTTCTCCTGTCCCTCTCAAGATATCTCACATTAACATTCTGTATTGTCTACTGCTCTAGAAATGGCTGCACTCATTGTAGCCTACTGTGTCAGCCACACCTCCAACCTTAGCAAAGCAAGGTCACCTGTCTTCTCCATTGATGTTCCGAAACAGCAAAATGTTACATTACAACTGTACTTCTGCCCACTCCCTTGCCAGGCAAGAGTATCCAACCTCATTCATCTGTGCCTATTGTCATGACTGTAATCACCAATTTCATACCTTTAACTCTCTTCTTCACCCCAGTGCTCACAGCTAGTTATTTTGCGTTTCACTTTACTAGCAAGATTAACCAACTAAAGAAAGCATTCCTCCTCCCCTCTGGTACTCAGCTTCTATTATGTGCCTTCTTCCTTTCTTTCTTTCTTTCTTTCTTTCTCAGAACAAGAGGTCGCTAAACACCTTCTATTCTTTCTCCCCACCACCTGTCCTCTTAATCGCACCCCTCTAACTTTATATAAATCTCTTTCCCATTGTCATGTCCCAAACAGGGCCGTCTTTAATAATGGTTGGACCCTGGGCAAGCATTTGCTTGAACCTACTAGTCCCTGCCTCCCCACTCCCTGGCATGTACTCATGCCCTCTACTGCAACTAAAGTAGAGAGGGCGCTGGTAGAAGACTTTCTTGGGCCCCACTACACAGAGACATCCGTTGGGTAAGTGTGATAGGGTTTGGGGAGTAGGTGTGAGGGAGGGTGAGCATGCCACAGCTAGGGAGTGAGCGTGACAGGGTTGGGGATGGGTAAGTGTGACAGGGTGGGTTTCTAAGTGATTGCGGGAGGGTGATGAGTGTAACAGGGTTAGTAAGACAAGGCTGGGGGAGGCTAGTAAGACAGGGATAGGGAGGTTAGTGTCACATATTCATCCGCTTATAGAAATGTGGTTAATGACATTTGCTGTCCACACAGGAAAAGTTGTGCCGAGCAGCAACCTAATCCACAGAAGGGTTAATGCTGAGCAGTAATTGTGCAAATGAAACCTGCTGTCATGTATTCATCCGCTTAGAGAAAAGTGATTAATGGCATTTACTGTCCACACAGGAAAAGTTGTGCCGAGCAGCAACCTAATCCACAGAAGGGTTAATGCTGAGCAGCAGTTATGCAAATGAAACCTGGTAACTGACTTTGGGGTCAAAGGCCGGTTACAGCCTATCAGAACTAAAGGAGGGGTATTTAGGCCCAGTTCTCAGCCTGCTCAGTGCCCTGTCGTGGTTTCCATTGTGGTTGTCTGAGAGCGCGTTCCTGTTTATAGTTTTCTACCTGTTTTTTTACTTTGGCTTTGTTTATTGACTTCTCTATATTCTGGTATCCTGACTCCTGGCTTTCCTCTCACACCTCACCCCTCTGCCAGTCCTTACATTGGCTTCCTGTGTGCTATAGGAGTCAATTCAAGGCACTAACTCACACCTATAAAGCACTGAACAACTCTAGCTCCTCTTATATCTCCTCACAGATCCATAGGTATGTCCCTTCTCGGTCTCTCTGCTCTGCCCGTGACCACCTCCTGTCTGTTGTCCGCACCCGTACGGCCAACTCGCACTTGCAGGACTTCTCGCGGGCGGCTCCCTTCCTATGGAATAGCCTGCCTCCCGCCATCAGACTCTCCCCTAGTCTTGCATCTTTTAAGAAGTGCCTTAAAACCCATCTCTTTAGGAAAGCTTATGGCCTCCATGACCACCCCTACCTCACATACCTGTCTCTTGCCCTCTCCTAAAGGGCAGCCCACCTTATTTGATTGCAAATTCCTGTCCTACTGTGTTTTACACCCCACCTCCTGTAGAATGTAAGCTCGATTGAGCAGGGTCCTCTTCAACCTATTGTTCCTGTAAGTTTATTTGTAATTGTCCTATTTATAGTTAAATCCCCTCTCATAATATTGTAAAGCGCTACGGAATCTGTTGGCGCTATATAAATGGCAATAATAATAATAATAATCAGGAGACATCAGAGGATCTTGGGACACCTGCAGTGACAGTACAAGATCAGGATCCACCTCTTAATGTCACTGCATTCGTAGTTTTAAGTATTATAAGTCTTCATCAAATATTTCACAAATTTCACACTACTGAGAAAACAAATCCTGAAGTGTTAGTCCTGCACGACTGATGTGTTTCTATTTTGTTTTGTTTTTCTTCTTTCTCAGCAACGCATATCTGTTACTTCAGTAGACAGCAAGGAGCTTGATAGCCGAAAGACATTGCAAGTTTCCAACGCAACAAAAACAGTGGGGGAGAACGATGAGTTTGAAAAACAAAGAACTGCCGCAATTGCTGAAGTAGCAAAAAGCAAAGAGGTTTGAAATGAATCTTATATTTGTGTATGCATTTGTTCAATCTAATTAATGGTGTGTTTTTTTTTTGTTTTTTTTTCAGGGGCAACCAGTATGTTGCTATCTAGCTGCGAGTAATGGGAAATAGTGTTAAACATTAGCTAGAAAATCACATGAGCAGTGATTAGCACTTTTCTCTAGTGTAGACTGAAAGGTATATCAGTTTATCATTTAAGGGTAAAACAAGCTAGTAAATTAGGTGGACAGTGCTAAGAATTATTATAATAAAATCATACATACACAGGTAGCAGCAGTTTTGCAATTATGTGTCTTACTCTTAAAAAAAAAAAAAAGGAAATAAAAAGTACAATGATAGTGCAGTATGTTATGAATAATATGGTGATAAAGATATATTCCAAAGGGGCACTCACGTTTTCCAGTGCTTAAAAAGCTCTATTTTAGGAGCGTGGACGGAGCAATCCCCGTCTAAGGATTTCTTTTTGCTGGTATCAGATTCCCACGGTAGTGCAGTTCATCATATGAAAAAAATAAGGATGTATACCAATGGTACAGTACGTATGTAAAAGTAGGAAAAGTAAATAATATTTGACCTACTTACATTTTCTAGAGCAATGTCCTGCTCTAGTGTATGGAGCTTTAGGTGGAACAATCCCTACCTAGGGATATATGTAGATCCGGAACAGCAGAGTGATGGTGAGAGTATGAGGAGCTCAAGAATGACTGGGTATTAAAACAGAATCTAAGTAATTACAAGTCTTCTTATATCAGTGTGTTTGGACTGCATATTACTTGATGATGACAGAACTATATGATGATTTAATGCATAGCTCTCTAAATGTAAACCTCATTAATATTTGAAAACATGTAGTAGTATTTGAAACTTGATTAGGATGCTAGAAAAGCAGCTCATTATGGAGATGATCACATTTGCTAGCATCTTTTCATGTTGCTGAATTTTAAGTGCCACAGGAAGCTCTGTCGAATCTTGGACTCCGTGTAAACTAGTTTTGGAAAAAGACCAGTTTTATGATCACATTCTTTTATATCCTGCCGTATAGTTTTCCCATTTACGTTTATTGTTATGATTCAGATCAGAGTAGCTCGTAAACAGGCACATTCTATAACTTCTTTTTTTTTAATTTATTTATTTATTTTATACGGCTTCAACTGTTGAAGATAACGCTAAAGTCAATGTGTAGATTACTGTTTCATTTTACGGAAATTAACATTTTATTTATCAGTAGGTACAGCTCAGTAATAGTAACATTAAAAAAAAAAAAGCTGCTTTCCTGGATTTCTTGCCTTATGGTTTAATCTTTGGGATGCGTTTGAAATGAAGTTGTTTACTTTAAATACAGCTTCTCTTATCTCTAGACAAAGACATTCGGAGGTGGTGGTAATGCTGGAAGCAATCTCAATTCTGGTACTGGGGGGAACCGTAACAGAGAAGTATTCCAAAAAGAGAAGATTATCAGGACAGAAGGAAAATCGGAAGGAGTATATCGTGAGCTGGTAAGGCTTACCTACTGAACCGGACACTCAATCACACGATCATAAACAGAAAACATTTCCTTTCTGCTTGCTTTATAAAATATTTGTAAAATACAGCGAGCAAAGGTTGTGATACAGGTACTTCTATACTTACATGGGTATATTCCACTCTAAAATATATATACGTATGTGTGTGTGTGTGTGTACACAGTACAGAACAATTCAAACAATATAAAATACACTTTTATTTTGCTATATGAATGCAATTCACAAAACTAGAGTGACTCTATGCCACTTAAACAACTTTGCCACTCTCTAGTGGCCAACTGAGGGACTGCCACTAGAGGTCTTACCAGGCAGTAATGTAAACACTGCCTTATATTTGAATAATATCTGACTTCTGTTTAAACCACAACATTTCTTCTCTTACTTGCTACATTAAAACAACATTGTGCAAAGTTAAAAACAAAACCTGCCCCATCACAACAAACTTCTTTGTCGTCATATACTTACAATTCACCTTAATATAAAAAAAGAGAAAGCAGCAAGTTGGATTGGTAGTGTAGGACTTACCTATGAGCCTGGCCCTCAGGGGGAAAGGAATGTTCGAT